TTTTTTTTTTTTTTTTTTTTTTGCGGTACGCGTGCCTCTCACTGCTGTGGCCTCTCCCGTTGCGGAGCACAGGCTCTGGACGCGCAGGCCCAGCGGCCATGGCTCACGGGCCCAGCCGCTCCACGGCATGTGAGATCTTCCCAGACCAGGGCACGAACCCGTGTCCCCTGCATCGGTAGGCGGACTCTCAACCACTGCACCACCAGGAATACCCTTGGCTCATTTTTTAATCGATTTTTTTGTTGTTGAGCTGTAGGAGTTCTTCATATATTCTGGCCATTAATCCCTTATCAAATATATGATTTGCATATATTTTCTCCTGTTCTGTGGGTTGCCTTTTCACTCTGCTGATTCTTTTTATTTTTGGGGTGGGGAGGTAGGAGTTCATTTATTTATTTATTTATTTTTGCTGTGTTGGTTCTTCGTTTCTGTGTGAGGGCTCTCTCTAGTTGTGGCAAGCGGGGGCCACTCTTCATCGCAGTGCACGGGCCTCTCACTATCGCTGCCTCTCCTGTTGCAGAACACAGGCTCCAGACGCGCAGGCTCAGTAGTTGTGGCTCAAGGGCCTAGTTGCTCCGTGGCATGTGGGATCCTCCCAGACCAGGGCTTGAACCCGTGTCCCCTGCATTAGCAGGCAGATTCTCAACCACTGCGCCACCAGGGAAGTCCCTGCTGATTATCTTTTTTGATGTACAAAAGTTTTACATTTTAATGTATTCCAATTTACCTTTTTGTTGTTGTTGCCTGTGCTGCCTGTGGTGCTGCCTGTGTTGCTGCCTGTGCTTTCTTATTCCAAGAAATCATTGCTAAATCCAATTTCATGAAGCTTTTCCCTTGTGTTTTCCTCTAAGAATTTTAGTTTTAGGTCTCACTTTTGGGTTTTTATCCATTTTGAATTAATTTTTCTATGTGGTATAAAGTTAGGGTCCAACTTAATTCTTTTAAATTAATTAATTAATTAATACATACATATATTTTTGGCTGTGTTGGGTCTTCGTTGCTGCGTGCCGGCTTTCTCTGGTTGTGGTGAGCAGGGGCTACTCTTCGTTGTGCTATGCCAGCTTCTCATTGTGGTGGCTTCTCTTGCTGTGGAGCACGGGCTCTAGAGCACAGGCTCCGTAGTTGTGGCTCATGGGCTTAGCTGCTCTGCGGCACGCGGGATCTTCCCGGACCAGGGTTCGAACCCATGTCCCCTGCATTGGCAGGCGGATTCTCAACCACTGTGCCACCAGGGAAGTCCTCAACTTAATTCTTTTGCATGTGGAAATTCAGTTTTCCCAACGTAATTTGTTGGAAAGACTGTCCTTGCCTCATTGAATGGTCTTGCCACCCTTTGCAAAAATCATTTGAGGATGTATGCAGAGGTTTATTTCTGGGCTCCACAGGGGCTAGTTTTTGAATTTATGTGATCAGGTGATGACTGTGGCAAGAGATGAACCAGGTTTCTTGCTTGTATGACCAGATCAGGTGAACAGTGTGTGGGGTGGGGCTTTGTAGCACTGATAGCAGGAGTTTGCAGCTCTCTTGAAGGCAGCTCAGACCTCATCCCAATTGTGACAGGTTGGATGGGTTGTGGTAATGCAGAATGGTGCTGAGTGGTATTATAAGTGGAAGCCCTAAATGCTGTGGCAGGAGGTGATCTATGTAGAGTATGGGCAGAATTATTAAAAGGGAACTTACACACAAGAGGGTCTGTGACACAGGGGCTACACCTTGTTTCACACGATTTGTTTGGCTTTTGCTGGGTAGTACGTGACTAGATTTATTCACGGGGGGGCTTTGAAAAGGGTCTCAAAAACTTGGATGCAAATTAATATGCTGGGGTTGGGTAGACTATGGTGGTCGAATGGCAGTGGCCAGCCGAAGCCAAGAGATTTAAGTAGGAGATACCACATCTCAGACAAATGGTCATCCATCCTAAGTTGTGGGCATCCGAAGAGCAAGGGCCGAGTCTTATTCATTCCAGCATTGTGTCTGGCAATATCTGGCACACAGTGGACGGATGCTTAATATATGTTTGAACTGAATTGGATGTAAGTCAAGAAAACAGCAATAATTTGAAGTAAGGAAACTTAACTCTTCATAGTTACGAAAATTTCTTATGGCTAATTTAAAATTTGTATATTATAGGAAGAGTGCATTTCTCCTCCCTTAAAAAAAGATGACTTGATCACCATCCTTTGTTTAAAAAAAACTATTAATTACCACTTATTAAGCACCAATTATCTCCAGGCATCATGTCTTGCACTTGATGTGCATTATATTTGGTCCTTACAACAATCTTCAGGTAAGCAATATCATCTCCAATTACTGAGGCTCAGAGATGTTACATGTCTTGTTTAAGGTTACACAGCCAAGCAGGAGTGAAGCTAGGATTTATAACCAAATGGGCCCCATGTTTCTTCTCTTCTCTGAGAACCCTTTTTAACTGTTTCTACCTGGGAGCTATCATTCTCATCCTGTAGCATGCTCTTCTTCTAGGGTTAATAAACACATTTTCTTCAGCCTCTAATCATGGCCCTTGTAACAAACTATTACTAACC